GTATCTGTCTCTGTCTGCAGTTCAATTACGCATTGTTGCCGTCACTTCTTGGCGGATTATATACAAGAATACCGCATATCTAGTAACCTCTCGAGACTTCAGGAAGGGACAAGATTTTTCTCAAAGTTCATGACGTGTTACTAGGTCACGTGACTTCCGCTGTCGTAACAATATTATCTATGTTATAAAACAGCGATAAGAAGTAGATTCTTCAGGTTCTTCAGGGGAAAAAAAGTTGAGTTGTTATTGATTTATAGCTTCAATTATTATTAATTAATTCCTGTAGTGTATATTGATGTATAAAAGACATCTTAATACCAGTAATAAACGACCTTATATCTTTAATTAGACACTAGACCTTTCGCTTCATAACTTCTTCAGGAGCGTTCCACTAAAACAAACCGTAACATAAGCCCCTGAAGAAGTTGTAAAGCCAAATGATGAGTATCCAGTTAAACAAAAATAACAAATTTGACGTTATAAGGTCGTTTATTGCTAGTATTTTAATTACTTATTTTTATTGAGACAAATCCACTTTTAATAAACACTGCAAAATTGAAATGTAAAAAAGTATTTTTGTTTCTAATATTCACGCAAACATGGACGGAATTTTTGCGTTAGTCGTTACTAATTGTAAATCGGTAGACAGTTATTCAAGAGTTTCCCCCCGCCAACGCAAGATCTTTTAAATACATTTTAGACTGTCAATTATATGAATATTCATACCGATAGAAGGTATATAACTGCATAGGAAAAAAAAAGTCATAATATATAACAAGCTGAAGAATGCCAACTCATATTACTTAGCCTTGCAGTTAGGCCTATGACATAAGAAAGTTTCCGATATTGTCAGTGCGCCCCTAGGTTTGTTTGTTTTAATGCAAAGCCACATTGGGCTATCTGTTTTCCTATCGCGGGGAATCGAACCCCGAATTTTAGCTTTGTAAATCCATCAACTTACCGCTGTCCCACCAGGGGACGCGTCCTTAGGTGGTGGAATTATCATCCTATAATTTTTGACGATAAGGATTGACATTGGACGAAAGGTCTCGTAACTGAGTCGTAAGTACTGTATATAACTGATATAGTTTGGTTGACATGTTACGGTACATTTTTCTTTTCTTTCACTTAAAAACTCTTACTGTATTTTTCGGAATATAAGAAGCACCCTTATTTTGAAGACAAAGTTGTTTTTTTGGGGGGATAGCTACAGTCGCATTTGGAAGATTTTTTATTGAAAAAAAATTCAATTTGATACTTTAAAAATTAGTATATATTGTTCTAAACACAAATGAGCTCAAAACATCAAAATAAG